GCCGCGCTGCTCGGGCGCGCAGAGTGCGGCGCCGCGCGCGCGGGCGACGCCCTGCGCCTGCGCCTCCTCACGCCCGCGGTGAAGGCGTTCGCGGCGGACAGGGCGTGCGCGGGCATGGAGGAGTGCATGGTCGCCCTCGGCGGCGCGGGGTACATGGCAGAGAACGCGCTCGGGAGGTCCGTGCTGCCCGTGCGCCGCCGCTCGCAAACGCTCGGACGCTGACCGCGCGCACAGGCTCATCCAGGACGCGCTCGTCGAGAAGATCTGGGAGGGCACCGTCGCCGTGCTCGCGTTGGATCTCGTGCGCGCGGTGTCCCGCGCCCCCGCCGCGCTCGACGCGTTCGCTGCCGTACGCCCCCCCCTCCTACTCTCCTGTGGGCCGCCGTGCTGACGCCGCGAGTGCGTGGTAGTGGGCCGAGGAGGTGCTGTCGTCGTGCCCTGCGGATCTGCGCAGTGCGCTTGCCGCGCCGCTCACGTCACTGCGTGCTGCGCTCCGCGAGCTCGCCTCGGCGTACGCCGCGCCCCTCGCGCCACTGGTCCCGCGGCCTGCACTGTTCCTCTTCTCGCACATCGCGTCGGGCTTGTTTCTGCTTGAGCACGCCGTGTGGGCGTGCGGGGCAGGAGAGGCGTCCGCGCCGACCGATGTCGAGGTGTTCGTGCGCTGGGTCGACGAGGGCGGGCTCGCCGCCGCGAGGGACGACGTGAGGAGGGCGCAGGCGGCGGATGGTGAGCGGTTGCGTGTGAATGGGGACATTGTGTATGGCGCACGGTGCGATCCTGGGTCTACAGGAGGCGGGCCCGCGAGAGCCCGCCTCTAATGATGCTCTCCAACTGTGTCCCTGTCGCCTTGTCGCATAGGCGGTTTTGTGTTATGCTCGGACCGGCGCACACTTTTCAATTTACTGGCAAGCTGATACAGATACCAGGATGTCTATGTGCTGTTAGATTGACTGTCCGCTCAAAGGACGTACAGGCTTCACCCAAGAGGTCTGCCGCAGAATATGTGGCCCACATTCACCATTGGAGCTCAAAGCGTTGTCAGGTTCAAATCAAGTGCGGGCTGCTGTCCCAACCAGCAGCGACAAAACCGCTCATGCGCTACATGCAGGCCACACCGTGGGCGATTCCAGATTGTCTTCAGCAATCTCACCAAACCCACACCAACTCCCAGGGCTACCTGATCGTACCGGCCGCAACCTGTCCCTCCGACAGTGGGCTTTTTGACTTGTCTTACTTAAAGTTAAAAATTCCTTTACATAAACGGGCTGAGCGCGCGCAAAGGAGGGTCCAGGGATGCGGGGAGATTCGACGGACAGTGGGGGACCATTGGCTGGCTCCCTCCCAGCTGTGACGCCGCCGTGGAAGGGCCATGCCTTTCAGCGGGGGATTTAGAACCCTGTCCCTTGCCTTCGATGGCCGAGGTCTGACTCTGCGGGTCCGCCGCGCCAGCGCCGGTAGAGTATCATGGACCCCTGCTTCCACTCTTCCTATGTCCATTATCACTAATTTCTCGGCCACAGTGTATCACAGCCTTGCCCCGGCATGCACCTTGTAGCCTGGGCCACGCCCCATGCTTCTGTTGCAAAATAGTACGAATGGTGATAGCAGTGGGTTCCGCGGTTACTACAAGGCATCCACTCTTTCGTACTAGTGTCAGATACACTTGCTCCGGGTGTGCAAAGCACTCGGATTCTTAGCAGACTGATATAAGCCACTGCTCTATGAATGCAAGCGGTACTTTGGACATTTTGGACCTGTGTAAGCACATGCCCCCAAGATGTTTCTGCAAATGTCCAAAGCAAGTTCCAGAACATTGCACTTGAGCTTTATGTGACCTAGATACTGAAAAGAAAATATGCCACGTCGATGGCTCCATCGATATGTTTGATACATGAGATAGCATTGTAGCAAGCGTGGGTAATCGTAGAATAGCGTACAGTATCGTGATCTATGTAGTAGTGTCTACACGTGAGGTATGTTAGTTATGCGTGAACGTGAAATAGCGTGATAGCATAGCGAGTGCACCCGTAACCCCAGGGAAACCAACGAGGCTATCACCCCTGCTTGTCCAGCGACTCCACCTGCTCGTTCGGCAGGTGCGCCCCAAGCTTCTCGTCGTGCGCCGTGTCGCCGCTGATCGCAGAGCTGCTGTCCCCACCCTTCTTGTGGCCAACGATCCCCGCCCCGCGCAGGAAGACAATGGCGAGGAGCGTGCCGAGCACCCCGAGCGCGAATCCGGTCCACATCGCGCTCTTGTACGACGCGAGCTGCGCTGCAGGTGGCGCGTTGGACCCGTTCTGGTTGACGATGACGCCGTACCGCCGCGACTCGCGCGCGAGCACCGAGTCGTACACGACCGTGCTGATCGCCAGCCCGAACGCCCCGCCGAGCTGCGTCATGGTCTGGAACAGTGCCCCGCCGACGCTCTGCTCGTGCGGGAGGCACACTTTGGCGATGAACAACGTCCCGGACGGGAACACAAAGTCCGCGCCAAACACGGACACGACCGCGGCGGGGAACCCGAACGCCCAGTACGGCGCCGCGGGATTGATGAGCGCAAAGAGCAGGTCGGCCGTGGCCGTGAGCGCCGTGCCAATCGCGACGAGGATGGCGAGGGGGACACGGCCGACGACGAGGGCGACGAATACGTTGCATATGACGCCGGTCACGAACATCGGGATGAGGCGCACCATCGTGAGCACGGGGGACAGCCGGAGATAGTCCTGGTAGTAGAGCTGGACCCAGAAGTTGAACGTCATGAACGAGCTGTACTCGAGCAGGGCGATGACCAGCGTGATCGCGAGCTTGCCGCGGGCGCGGCCCCACAGGCTGACGCGCATGAGCGGCGGGGGGGTCCACCAGGCGGTGGAGTGGGCATGCAGCTGCTTCTCGAGGAAGTGTTCCCAGGCGACGTATGCGACGAGGAGCAGCACACCGAGGATGAGGAGTGCAATGATGTAGCCCGTGCGCCAGCCGTTGGGGGCGATGGTGCCGTCGCTGAGGACAAAGACGATCATGACGAGGCCAGCAGTGACGAGGAAGGCCCCGAGCCAGTCGACGCGGCGGTCGAGTTCGGTCGAGGGCGCGTCGTGGTCGAAGCTGGCGAGGCCACCGGCGAAGGTGAGGGCGCCGAGGCCAGTCATGAAATAAAAGGTGGAACGCCAGTGCTGCTGGGTGAGCTGGGTGAGAACACCACCGATGGCACTACCGAGGGCGGCGCCAACTGGTGCACCAGCAGCGAAGGTGGAAAATGCGATGGAGCGGATGCGGGAGGGGGGGAAAGAGTGGGCGAGAATGCCGAGGCCTGCGGGGATGCAGGCGGCGGCGCCTAAGCCCTGGAAGCCTCGGAGGACGTCCATGGTGATCTCGTCGTGGGCAAAGCCGCAGCCGAGGCCGAAGACGGCGAGGATGAAGACACCGAGGAGGAAAACGTTCCTGCGGCCGTAGAGGTCTGCGAGACGGCCAAAAAAGAGGAGCAGACAGCCGGCGCTGAGGGAATAGGCAGAGATGACCCACTGCAGACGGTATTCAGGAATGGCGAGGTCGTCGCCGATGGTGGGCAGTGAGATGGATATCGCGGTGTTGTTCGCAGAGGTGAGGATCATGCCCGTGGTGCAGGTAGCGATAAGGCCGACCGCCTGGAGCGTGCTGAGTGTGCGGGGCGCATGGACGTCGGCTTTTGGGAGGGCGGGGTCGTCGGGGGGAGCGTCGGGGGGAGCGTCGGGGAGAGCGTCGGGGGACGCGTCGTCGGCCATGGGGAAGCGTCGAGGCGGGCAGAGAGAGCGACGGGGCCATTAGACACACACTGATAGTGCTTTAAAGTCGAACTTCCACGGCGGCAAGGTGGCGGCCGAACTGGCAAGGCGCCGTCGAGCGCGTGACCGGGACGGCCTCGTCTGCGTCGCCCTCACCAGGCCGAGGTTCCTGCACTGACCATGCTCGCCGCACGCCGCAGCCCCCGCTCGCTCTCTCTCTCCCGTGTCGCTCGCTCGCTCTCCACCGAGGCTGTCTCCTCCTCCTCCCAGCTCCCTCCGCCCCCGCCTCTCTCCAAACACCCAGCAGCCAAGCCCTCGCCCCGCACACGCCTCAGCCCCGCTCCACGACCAGCTCATCCTCCCCACAAGCAGGCTTTCCCCCACCTCCCGCCCTCCTTTGGTCGAAACCAGATTCTCCCGGTGACCGACTCGACTCGTGCCCTCCTCGAGAGCGTTGTCGCCCAGTTCAATGCTCCAATCCGGTACGCTTTCGCATATGGCTCGGGTGTGTTCGAACAGGATGGATACAACAACACCGACAAGCCCATGCTCGACTTCATCTTCGCCGTCACCCATCCTGCCCACTGGCACTCCATCAATCTCAATCAATTCCCCGGCCACTATCCTCTCCATGCTCGTCTATTAGGCTCCTCCTTCGTCTCTAGAGTAGAGGCCATCAGCCCCGGTGTCTGGTTCAACACCCATGTACCCGTGAACGGCGTCGTAAGTCCTCTCTCCGTACCTCAGCCCCTCCCATGCTTACCCGCCCACATGCGCCCAGACGATCAAGTATGGCGTCACCACCGTCGACAACCTCTGCGGTGACCTCCTCAACTGGCGCACCCTCTACCTCGCCGGCCGCATGCACAAGCCCGTCCGTATCATCAAGGACGATGCCCGTGTCCGCCTCACCCAGCAGGTCAACCTCACCTCCGCCGTGCGTACCGCCCTCCTCACCCTCCCCGCTACCTTCTCCCAGCATGAGCTCTTCACCCGCATCGCCGGCTTCAGCTATGCCGGTGACATCCGCATGGCCCTTCCCGGCGAGAATCGCTCCAAGGTCGCGAACATCGTCGCTCGCCAGCAGGATCAATTCAAAGAGCTCTACCACCGCCTCGTCGTCGCCCTCCCCGGCGTCCACTGGCCTGCCCACCTCGAGACCATCCATCAGGACATCACTCCCCATGCCCGCGCCGCTCACCTCCGCAAGCTTCCCTCCAATCTTCTCAAGGGCGTCACGGACCACTATGCGGCCCAGCTCCCCCCAAAGGAGGTGGACGAGAGCGTGTACTGGACGCGGCTCGCGGGCGACGAGGGCCTCCCGGGGGTGCTTGACCACGGTACGCTATCCCTCCAATCGTCTCTCCCCTCTGACGCTGACGCATGCGCCCCGCAGAGATCCGCAGGCTCGTCCGGTACTCCTCCGCCGTGCAGTCGGCCAAGGGCGTCGTGAGCGCCGGCCTCGCGAAGAGCGCGCGCTACAGCGCCGAGAAGGTCGGCAAGTGGTGGAGCAGCGGCAAGACGGGCGCAGGTAGCCCGTAACGCCGCCGCTGCACCGCTATCGCGGGCGCGGCGGACGATCCCTCATACTAGAACTCGTACGGATATTGGGCAGGCTATTTAATTATTTGCGGCATACATAGTCGGCAATTGTATTTCGTTATTACATTGATGCATATAATTACCACCCATGGTATGGGTCAGTGATGAGCTTGATCTTTTGAGGCCATGCTGATATTAGCTTCGATCACAACACAGCAACATGGCGCAGCTGGAAGCGCGCGGGGCTCATAACCCCGAGGTCACTCGATCGAAACGAGTTGTTGCTAGAAAATCGGCAGGAGTAATTTTGTGCCATCTGATTTTGATCGTTTTGCCCTACATTCACAACTTCGGGTGCCCCCAGATGAGGGTCTGCCGGCGTGGAAATCTTCTCAAACAGCCAAGGAAAGGCACTCAATGTCAGCATCCCCATACCGGACTGGCGCAGCCACCACACAAAACGTAGACTGTAAGTACACATTCATTATTCCTCCAATAGGTAACAGAACAGCTCAGCACCCAGCCCCTTCATTTTAGTTCGCGCTCGCGCCCGCCGTAGCTCACTGCGCTCGCGACCGAGCTGATACTCCCGCTCCGGTGCGGCGGG